ATGCTCTACCAGCCGAGCCACGAAGCCACACCGATAGCACTGATCTTTTCACATTCGAATTTACCCATCCAAATCTAAATTTCCATTCGAAGTTTAGGACGGATCCCATTTTCTACCCTCATCAATCTCTATTTGAGTATGTGTTTGAGTATGTTTGAAATATGGGCACAGTAAAGCAAAAGACGGAAGGTACAGTCATCTGGGGGTGTCTAAATAAAAAATGCTTCGATATTACAGAACTGCTTAAGATCTAAAGGTTAAGTGACAAACTTCTCAGTTTCCCAGTCTGAGTACGAACCCCGTTACCAACACGGTAGGGCTATTTTGCAAAGTTATGGTTTTGTGAAGGAGATTATGCTGATCTGGCATCTTAGTGACTAATAGCGACATTTGGAGATTTTGTTTATTCAAAACATCTCTGGTGCTTGAGAGAGAGAAAGAGAATGATGAAATTGCTGTGTCAAAGTGCTTGCTACTCGTCAAAATCCGTTAGTGCACAAGTGGTATGAGTTTCACAGTGGATTTTACGTTTTCCAATTTCATTTTTACTGCCCGATTTCCTCTCGAGAGCTGCTCAATCGGTTATTTTTCCCACGGCTGAAATTTGATTTTCAAACAAATGTGTTTATTAGAGAACCATGTACAGAACTGTATGTGTTCAAATGCAGACGATTCCCTGTTCGATGCGAAAGTACAATCTGCGTTTGGGCCTTCACCATTAATGGCCAATTGATTGTGTAAGAAGATGAAGTTGATCGTAACTGTGAAATAATTCAATCTTATACAACAATTTTCATTGGTTTCATCTATTTAAAATGTATATCGCCATGTGGGAACATTACGTAGTATGGCTAACGGATATTGTTATACTCTATTCAACAGTAGAGCTTCAGCGTTTCCAGTATAAGATAGATACTCCGTCGACCAATAGTCGAGTGGATTGGTAATATTATGGAGCTTTCAAATCGGACTTCCAACAGATCAAATCACCAAGGACGAACACTAAACCAGTCAGTCAACATGAACTGAACTAACATGCTGATCGAATGTCAATGAATCTCTGATGTACTGATTTCCGCATTCCAGTCCTGTCCCCATGAGGTCTACTTGAGTAAATAAACGCCAGCTTTTGTAATGTGAAAGATATATGAACACTATACATGAAGATTTTCCGCATGGTATTTGCTCTACAAATGATGGTGAATGATCGCAAAGTAAACACCGTCCGTTTCAATCATTAATTTAGTACTGGTCCTTCGAGCATTTGGTCGTTCTGGAACCGAGAAGATTTGTAGCACAACTTGAAGTATACATTCTGACATGATACATAGTGCTTATTCCAATCCCACAAGCATTTGAATATGTACCAAAAATGAAGTACCACGGTGATCTGCCGAATGAAGTATTAAACAACAAAGTAACGTTATTCCTGCTACTTTCACTTCAGATTTACTATCCGTTTCCACGGGAAACAGTATGGATAAACGGCCCTGTGGACTCTCATTGAACCGATTCAGTGAAGCAACAAACAGCGGAACACCATCAGTGATGAAAGACTTCATGATGCCAGACAGTAACTTTCTGGGCTGGGGTTTGCATGAACCGACGGCGGCTTGGCCCAAACTTGGCGAGTTGGTTCGCACAAGTCCCTACTTTCATGAGCTAATGATGCGCTACATGCGTTACATGGATTGGACCAATTCGTGTCAGCCCGCGAGCGATCGAACTCCGGTTGTACCGGGGTTAGGCAATGCACCTGTTCTGTCTGGGCGTTCAAATGGATCCAGATCGGATGAACAGTCGCTCAATGGAGATTATGATATTCCCATTTACTCAAATCCAAATCAAACGAATACTGGATCGAACTCGGACTCGAATGCAACGGATTCGGCTTCACAAGACTGCACAGATCACGGGAATCAGACCAACAGTCAATGCAGTTTGGAATTGAACACGACCAAATCATTAGTTGGTTCCAAACGACGATCCTGTTATCCAGCTGTTAGCCCCGAGGAGGAAGACCTAAATGATACTACCAAACGTTATCGAACCAGTTACACTCAACAACAAATACAGGTACTGGAAAATACGTATCAACTGGAACGATATATCAGTCGACCTCAACGAACCAAATTGGCACAAGAACTGAAACTACCGGAAAATACAATCAAAGTAAGTTGCATTCTGATGCAACGACAAAATTTAATTCGCATAATTCATGAGTGGTAATAAGATGAACGGCTTTTTAGTTAAATAACCGGCTGCCTCTCGACTACACTGTGATACGGAGATCTTAGGTCAGTTTTTCTCAGATCCCATCTACAGTGAACATTTAAGCAGAAAATGATGATTTTTCAGTAGAAAGATACGTTTACAGCAAAGTCATCTGACCAATTTGATGGAATTTAAATCCATGGTTGGCGGTATGGACTCTCAATAACTCTTCGATCCTGATATTTCAGTCTTCTGTGAGAACCTTATCAATTACCTCAACTATTGTTATGATGTGTGCTGCTCTCAGGAAAGGATTTATCTACAACCCAGCCGATTCATCTCCGATGGACTGAAATGTTTACGAAGGCTGAAAGAAAGGGTGTATCGCTCAGGAGATAAACTGACGGTCACATCTGTCAACTCTCACATCAGAAGCGAGGTAGCACATCTCAATCAATTATATGCTGACACCTTGCAAGGAGAAAAATCCTGCCGTCAGCTTTGGAACGGACTGACGTTGTTCTGTGGTCGTTCAACTTTACCTACTACAGTCTCATGTGATATCAATGAGCTCAACAAATCATTTGCTTCAGTAAAAAACGTTGGGCAAGCTTTACCGAGTCCAAGCACAACGTCACTTGATTTCTAACTTCCTGTGTCTGTCGCAACAGAGCAAGTTTTAAAGGAGTCAAATGCTGTCAATGAAAATAAATCCGCTGGTCCTGATGGGTTATCCTCAGTGGTCCTTAAAACATGTGCAAACCACCTCGCACAAACCGTTTCATTTATCTTTAATACATGTCTGTCAGAAGGAAGACTAGTTAACACATGGCATGATATGCGCATCACTCCAGCACCTAGGAAACAAAAGGGTAAGTTTCGGCCTATTGTTTCATTTTCAGTATTACCTAAGACTTTTGAGCGTATTATTATTAAGCACCTATCCTCTAATCTTGATTTTCGTGATTCCAATCAGTTTTCTTGTTGTAAGCGTCGCTCCATTTTAGATGTGGTTGCTTGTTTTATACATTCTGTTTTATCCACCATAGACCAAAAACACAAAACTGTTCACGTTTGTTTCTTGGACTACACAAACCCGTTTAACTCTGTCTACAGAAACATCCAGTTGACACTGTTACGGCGACATAATCTCCCGCCACATCTTTTGAATTGCATGCACGGCTGTTTTAATGATCAACGCCAATTCACTTGCCTCAACGGTATTAGGTCTTCTACTGCTACTGTAAACCAGGGTGTAATGCAGGGACCAATTTTATCCCCTTTTCTGTTCTGTTTTTATATCAAAATTTGCCAGTCACCCCAAATATTTTCCATTTTAAATATGCCGAAGACATAGTAGTTCGTGGTGCATCCCACAAAAACAAAACTTCAACTAACTCTCTTCAATCAGCCATAAGTTCCATTTCTGAATGGTCCGATGGTGTTAACCTCTCTTTAAACCTCAATAAATGCATTAACGTTTTGTTTTCCATTGACCGTAAGCCATCACCTTTTTCTGGGTCATCCGTTCCCAATATCTTGATCAACAACTTTAAAGTTGAAAGGTCAAAACACTTCAGATATTTTGAATGTTTCGTGTTTGCTAACCTCAAATGGTCCTATCACGTAGAAAGTTGACCTTTTTGCATTTCACGCCTTCGGCATCCGAGGGTGCCATTGTCCATCATCTCCAAATTAATTTTCTCATGCGTTTTATGCCATTGGATCAACTGCTTTCCCGTTATCTTTCCTAGTCAACTGTCTAAGGATTTCATATTAATTAGACCCTCTATGAAAAGCATCTCTATAGATATGAAGCTGTATCTTATGAGGAGCTGGTTGATTCCATTGTCAACCAACACCTGAATGCGTGTGACCGTCTGTGTGACTCCATCTGGTCCAATGCGTCACATACCTTAAGCACAGCTCTATCTAGCTCCATTTTAACTACTGTAACCCGCAATAAATTTAAACTTTTATGTCCTCGTACCACTGTTTTTCACAACTCCGTTGTACCTTACCTTTTGCGTTTGTTGGTCTCTAGGGAGCGAATATCAAACGAACTTATAGACAGTCTAATGTAAATTTCCACGTTGACATTTTCCTAATTTTTTACGCGTTCTCGGTGTCCGATCCATTATTATCTCAGTAACTAGTTGTCATATCTTAAAGCTAATTTTTAATAACAGGCAATGCCAAAGAAAAAGCGATAACATTCTTTTCACTTAAAATTCTGTCCACATTCGATGATTAAAGTGAACTCTTGACTTGACTTGACTTGACTTGACTTGACTAACCAATCGCGACGTGGAAGTCCGGGGTCGGTTGAGATTTCTTAATCATAATTTATTAATTGGCGCATATATGGGACATATGTCAGGCTCATCATCTCTACCAAACCAAATCGAATAGCTCTTCGAGTTTACCCAGGCTATGTTAATAATTGTACATGATGTAGCCGCTTTCATTCTCAACAGTTCACAGTTTCGAAAGGGATCTCCTTAATCCGCTTTTTTGCACACTGAATCTTATACTGATCAAATTTAGCAGTTAGTCAGATTCGGGATGTTTCCCAACAAGTCAGTTGTGTTAACATAAGCAAGGTGCCATGCCAGCAACAAATTTTTAAAAATGCGTAGTACTAAATTGTACATGGACAGACTGGAATGATCTGATCTCCCGCAGTGGCGGAGTAGTTAGCATCGATATCATGCTTACGTTCTGCTCATGAGGTCCCGGAGTTTGCTACTCACTCAATGGGGTTGATTGGTTCGCACTGCTGATAATATATATATATATATATATATATATATATAGAACCGGGTCGACCAGTCGTACCCTGAGGTCCTCCGTGCCCTTCAATCCACACGCTTAATTTGCTTGGTCTGTGACAAAAATCGTCATACAGATCTGCGAAAATATTAACTCAGCTTTATTGACCGGTAACAACCGTGCATTACACGACGAATTTAACTGATGAAAAGATCATTCATATTTGCAAAACAGATTATTGCAGCGACGCGTCGCTCCTTCTTCTTCTTTTCTCGGTTTTCAGGTCTGGTTTCAGAATCGTCGAATGAAAGAGAAACGTCAAGCCCTCATGCTTCCCACAATTGCTGGTAAGTGCAATAGTTTACTGGATATCAGACACATTTAACCAATCCTACTGTGGTATCAAACTATGTGCCAGATGCCTAGTCAGTCGGATATCATTCTCAACGTTTTCCCTATTTCTTGGTAAATTTCGTAGATGAGAATATCGGAAGTAATAAGATAAGTTCACAGGCCATTAAACTTGTGAAATCGCATGGCTTTATACGGGGACATCATAATTAATGTACCGATCTGATCAAGATCCAGGCTCAGTACCGTATAGATCAGAGGTCAAGTTTTCGTATCCAAACACGAAAGTTCGAGGATCCGTTCCTGACAAGGATACAAAAACAATACGCACCACTGGTTTAGTTCCAAAAACGGACGAAATAACCGTCCAGTGTGTGATTCGTGATCCATTACACAGAAAATGTATGAGTTACATTAAAGAACATCTATAGCGCGAGAGGTACATGTTAAGGGTTATATACAAACCCGGGTGTCAGTTCAGTCTTGTAGATTCAAATGATAACACAAACTTAATAGTAGTTGGTAAACTAACTAACTAACTAACTAACTTGGTGTTGTGTATCGGATTTTCAACAGTAGGCATGTTCTAGGTCCTTAACTGACACAAAGTCAAAACACCCAGTGTACATGACCTAAGCGATACGGACGAGCTGTAAGTTACGGGCATTATCAACCAAACAATTACTGGATTTATTCGGATTGAAATGATTGGAAACATACTCCGTATGAGAACTATTGAAGTTTTGCATACATTCTGTGGTGAAATACCAGTTCCTCAGTATTGACCGGACTGGCACAATCAACATGATTAAACAAAGTTACCAAATCACTCAGTTTTGCTCCCGTTTAGAAATGTGCACATTTTTTCTAAGAAGCAGTTTCCGCGTGGGACACTGTACAGTATTTCCCCGGGCGTTGTTCAGAATTTGGTGGACCCCATTTTTCTATCCATTGCCTGTCAGACCGCCCCAACGACCACGGTTACAATGCAAGACGAAAAGTACTCTACGTTTAAGTCATACAACCCGATTAATTAAATAACTACCTCACAGGGGAATCTATTTGAACATATTGTGGAACCTGTTTCAACGATAACTTAATTCAACAGATTTTTCATCATGATCAATATTTATTAAACGAATAGAAACCGGTACATCGAAGAGCTCGTTCAACGCCGTGAGGGTTGTGAAAAAGACCTGAGCGCACAGACGACCCAGCGACAAAACTTACCATCACATCGGCCCAAAAGTAGTGAAGCCATCCTTGTGGCTCTTGGCAATTTCTGATTGGTCATTTGCATCCCTGAAATTTGATTAGAGAATTAAAATTTATTTACAGGAATAACCCAACGGAACCGATAGAGCAAAATTCTGCATGGAAAATAACCATGGAGTTATTTATCACTTGTGCGAATGTATGCATTAAAAACCAAATCAATCACTTTTTCTTGTCCAATCGGGACAAACGCTTCGTGTGCCACTTTTTCCAATTAATCTTCGGACAATATCCGGTCCAAAAGCCAGTGACTCTTGAACGAAACGTATCGCTTTTACTAAGCCATTGTGCGAGCAACGTAAGGGATTGCGAAATTCCGATTCACTCGTTCACGTGCTTTCACGTACAGTTTACAGTTTCACATACATCATGTGCATCGCGTCTAGCGTTGCGTGCTTAACGGATTGAAGTGTGAATTTGGGTCCCTCTCCTTAAACTCCCCCCTCTCAACTAAACCACAGACATTCTTATACGCTATTCCCGTGCCACACCCCTTCCATTATAATCCAATCACTCTATTGAATATGAACGTAAGAGAGACAATGTGTGACTAGCATCGATGCATGCACGCCAATGCATATACGTGTGTACGCGCGTGTGCGGCCATACACCAGGGTTAATGTTTCTCTCAGATAGTAATTAGGTCACTTCATGTCGGTGATACAATCTCCCACCGGTCCGTATAGGCTTGTTTGCTATCTTTCACTCCCTCCCTAGCAGCTATGCCTACGTGCGACACCCAATCATCACACATACGATGACAACATTCCAGTAGATAGTGCCATACAGTGGTGATGATTACAATCGCTGTGTTCATTACGACCTTATGCGCGACCCGCATCATGTGAGAATCGATTCGACCCAGCACAGCTATTCTGATGCTGACCGTATACAAGAAACAATGGAAAGGTAAAGTGGCGGTGCCGAATTTTATACACACACATACACTTTGAATAGGTGGGAGGGGGCGAAACCGTGATAATTCGTTGTCCGATGAAATGTCCGGTAAACAGTTAATGACGTACTGACCAACTGAGTAGTATCGATAGACAAGGGTGATTCTAACATGTGATTGTGTGTTTATGGACGATTGGTTCACCACTTCAAACAAATGATTAATGACGATTCGGTGGATAGCTGTGAGAGGCTGATTTCCAGTTTTCATGTATCAAATCGTAATCAGATTCAAGCGAACAACAATCTCTGAATAACCTATTCGATTCGGCGAAGCCAGGGACTGTGGGATGCCGAATTCAAACGGAATACTATGGCTTGAATTTTGTTATTTGGCGAATTTATGTTGGAATTGAGATAAATTCATTCGATCCCATACCGCGTGCGCTATTGTACAGCGTAATGCCCTACCAGCTGACCTAAGAGGCCACATTGATAGCACTGATCTTTCCTCATTTGGATTTTCTATTCAAGTGGAATAAGTGAAGTTGTGTCAATCAATGATGAAAATCCGGTACACAGCAGTTTTTCGCGTGCTGATAAGGTGTTTCAGAAATCTGTGAGTCTGCTCTACTTGGGATTTTCGTGATCGATATTCCAAATGAATACCTGATTCTCTCTAATAATCAGTGATAACTTTCATTAAGCTTTGTGATATTTCCGAAAACCCCACTGGCTCATTTCAGTGCTAACTGCAGTTATGCATTCGCTAAAACTGCACTGAACACTGTACATTCAAAATGAGTGTTTAATTTAATCGTATTAATCATACTATTTTATTATCTCGATTAAATGTTTCTTACTTCCAGTTTGTTTCATCTTCTCAACTGAATCGCGGTAACTATTTCTTTCCCGAATGCGTTACATGACCGTTGAACAATTTTGTAAGTAACACAATACCTTGTCATAATTGTTGACAGAAATCAACAGCCCTTTAATGACTCAAACTCACTGATCCAATTTGGTGATCACTAATTTTTATCATTCGTTCTTATCAGATGAGTACTGTAAGAAGAATTAGGCTGTGCACCTTGTATGGTATATGGGGTTCACATTCGTTTCCCTGCACTAAAACCGGGCTCACTGTCCTTCCACCTTGAGCATTCGTTTGGTAGTAGTTTGGCAGCGTTCAGTGAAGTTCGTTTCAATGCATTTAACTGTAGAAAAGTGATGATTTAATGTTTATTGCACTGGGAATTTACTTCTGAACTATGGTAGTCAGCAGTTCAAGAGTTCCATTCGATTTGGTCAGTTGATTCGGATCCTGATAGCACATTAAGTGGACTCTGTTTGACCAACCTGTAGATGTCTCCTCTTTCTCTCTCTCCACAAGTAGACATGCACACACGCTATCAGGAGTTGCGCAAAACGAGATCACACCACCTACGGGGTGGGGGTTTTTCAGTTTATCCATCCGGATTCAGAGTTTGTTATTTTCGCGTTCGACACAATACACTTGTATTGACGCGAATCACTTAGAGCACACATCAAAATCCGTCTGCTGGATGACCATGCTATTACCAAGATATCCAGTTTTCCTTTCCTCAGGCACATGGTCGAATAACGTGATAAGTCATAAATGGAAATGTTAAGATGGACTGACGTGAATACATGCATAAACAGACGTACACACACACACACAGACACAATTTCATGTGCTAGCGGAAACAGCCAACTTATCATGAATGGATCACCGGAGCGTAATCGAAGCATTATGGCAAGGTGGCGCTTATGCGTTTGCTTGATTGTTTCTGAACGTGTGTGCATGTGCTTGTACGGTCGACGGAACAACAAACATGCAATTCATGCAAAATCGTCCTATTCATTCGTGCTCCCCCATTAGATCACTTCAACAAATCAGCTCAATAATAGTCAAAAGTTGCAAAAATGATGTCCAGATGCTCTTAGCATCGACTACTGACCGTTTCGACCACCTGGCAGGGCAATTCAGCCACATGTCCCAGATAAAAATAAAATAAATGAATCCACGTTTCTAGCTCGAGCATTTCGCATTCCGGACCAAATTTGTTGGGCTATCTGGTAACGCACCAATGTTCTCCTTCTCCATCACGCGGATCGAAGTGACAGCTACTAACAGCGGTACTGATAAGGGTGAGTAGGAATGAGCCACGGGATGAAAGTGAATGCATGCATGTTGAAACCCGGTGATAAAACTAGCAAAATAATTTGTCCCCTGCCCCTCCTGTCGGCCCGCCCGCCCGCCCGCCCGCCTGCCCGATC